CCTTTTGTTTCGGGAATGAAAAACAAAAATGTTCATATTAAAATAACGATGCCAGAAGTTTTGCTTTCAACAGTTATCAATAGAAACTGCAGTCATTTCTCTGAATTAGTACCGCAGTTAATACCGAGTGGTCCAAAACACTGTATAAATGGAAACTAATTTCGAGATTTATCAAGTTTAACCCGTCGAGGCTTAAATCAACATTCGGACTTGTACTCAGTTTTCCTTCCTGCTTCGACTGTTTCATATCTCGTTTAGAAGTTTTTATACGTATTTTTAAAACTTAACCTTATTTTAAATTGTTTTATATGATATATAAAATTTTTATTAAATTCTAGACTATGCATAGTGGTCCTTTCTGTATATTTTTATATATAAATTCGTTGCAGTATGTAACGTAAAAGCTAAATTGAATTAAAAGTTTACACAAGGCTTTATCTAAATCACGGCTTGATATATTTCGCACGCACCTCCCTCGGTTGGCTGGATGTCACGAGGAACGCTCATTTTAAATAAAATATGGTTATGTTTAAAAGTAAATTTATTTTTATGTTATTTTTCAGGTTTAAAATGTATATATTTTTTTGTTGAAAAGCAGAAGTTTATGACATTCATGTTTTAATATTTAAAGAGCTATATATTATTTAACGTTATTATCTTATGAATGTAAATTTAAAGACGTTTTAGCGAATGTAATCATAAAATACGGAAATATTCAGAGTTTCATTCCTATAATGAAGGCTTTCAGATGCAGGTAGCGTTTACACAGGTTATATCGTGTTCCACTTCGAGCACATTAACTAGATGACTATAATCTCCATTTTGATGTGAATTTAATGTCATAATAATAAGATTTTTTTTATATTCTTTACTATCTTTATAATGTTATACAAGTAAATATATATATTAATGTAAAACTATATATAGAGTGTACTCAAATTTGATAAGTACTTTTCATAGGCATTAATATTTATCATACATAAAAACTTTAATGTAATAGAGTATTTGTCATCTCATATATGTAAAGAGATGAAATGGACGTAGAAATAGGTCAAGTGTTCATGAAACGAAGGTACATTTCTAGACATCAGAGTACCGGGCGTACTTCAAGATATTGAAATTTTACCGTTACTTGCTTTCAGTGCTATAATATTCAAATATATTAAATTAAATAACACGATATTTACATTATATACTTATATATAAATAAAAAATGTGTCCTATATATGGATAAAAGTAAAAATAGTGGTATGAAATTTAATTGCATTATTTTTATGACGTCCTTTTTAAATTTATTGACGAGTATATCACATAGCTGTAGCCTTGCCTTAATTTTAAGTGAAATAAAACAATTTTTATTAATATTCAGAAATTGCACACAGATTTCAACTGATTACATTACATAATTTTATGAAAGTCAAAACATCAAACTTATTTTTGCTAGGAAGAGAACATGAAATTATGTTCAACTAAAAGTATATACATCATATTTATAAAAGAAACTCTAGTTTTTTATTAAACATTAATCTTTGTAGAATAGTAATAATAAAAATGAATTCCTTCCAAACGATGTTCAAAAGCAAACAAGCAGGAATGCCTACTCAGCCGCCATTAGCATCGGTTGGCTAGAAGCTGACAAGTCGATAAATCATTTATCTCCGTAAGCATCTCTTCGATTTCATTGAATAGCGATTTATACGTGGAGATTGGTCTGCCCCCTGTTAAATGAGTGCCTAATGTGCTATGGAAAATAATTCTCACTTGTAATGTAGACGTGTTTACATCAGCTCTTTTGATCTCATACATTTGGCAACACGAATTTTTATACATTTCTGTTCATAGATGTGATCATATGTGATTTATTAAAGTTTTTTTCGTAAATACCGGTTTATTATTTAAAAACTCACTTTTATTTCTATTTGTACCTCTTGAGCTACATCTTCTCTCGTGTAAGTTATAAACTTGTCTGGTAGTCTAAGGTGACTATCGTGTTTACCACGTAATCATTTTGCTTATGTCGTCTTTATCGATGCGAGACGTTCGCTATAATTAAGAGGTAATGTATCCACTTTGATAGATTTTGTAGAAAACACCTTCTTCAAAAACCGCATGATCAGCTCATACGTTTTCACAAACATTCCACATTAAAGATGAAAGATCCTTGTTACCGTGATGGACACTTCTGGGATTCTGGCTTTGATTGATCGTTCTAATCGCCATTTTAGTCAGTCATCATTGTCTGGTAGAGTAAAGACCGTTGTGCTTAGAGTTTTTGTGAGTAAAAGATCGTATTTTGTATTCTAAAACAACGGGTCGTCAACCCTGTGGAAGGTGGGGAGGTCAATATAGCGGCAAGTTGATATGGTTACGATCCACAAAGGACACTGAGTAATATTCTAACCAATTTAATGAAATAGGGAAGACCATTCATTTTATTGATAGTAATACAGCTTAATTCTTTAGATTTTAGTGTTTATGTTGTTTAGTGTGATTAAATATTTTATCCCCTTCTTGATATTCGAAGAGCGTTCTATGGTAATTTAATGTCCCCTATAAATCTACTTGGTCTGTACTGACTCGTTCAATAATAAAGCCCATTCTAAAATCGTTTACGAGTTACCAAGATTGCATAGGAAATTGGTGATTGTATTGGGTATGCATAGTATTCGCTTGGATGCTACTTATTCGCCCTAGGGAGACGTCGTTCCAACATGAAACCTGAAATTTATTACAAGTTAATTTAGAAACAATTCAAAAAATATTCTTCTTTATTTCTTTAAGCTACATTCGTACATACAAATCTTTAGAGTTCATGTTTCGCCTCTATAAGTCACACTATTCGACTCAAATCTAAAGTGAATTCGTAAGTAGACAGCGGTTATGAAATATGCTTAACAAAATGTATCGGAATTTTATGCTTGAGTAATGTTAAATATTTAGAGACCTTTCGAGGCCGTACTCACGGTATATGCGCCGTAAATATCATATGATATTTGGGGATTGAATATTTTTTAAGTGTATGTATTTCTTTGATGGTTTCTCATATTTTAGGTAAGTATAATGGATATGATGTAGCGATAGGAAACTGTTTTAGTGTGTTCAAACATATTTTTTAGTTTCTTTTTTAATGTTCAGATTACGAGTCAAACAAAAAATATAGTTTCATTTAAAGAATTTAATTCTCCAATTGTGTTCGTAATGGAAATAACCATTTTAAAAAGAAGTCCATATACACGCTAACTATTCTATTTTTATATTCTTCTTGTTTTTATAAAGATTCCGTAAGTGATATACAAATAAAATAATATTACTTCTATGTTAAAGTTTTTTAATACTTTAATAAAGATAATATATTAGATTAACATAAATAGTCTTAGTAGTAAAATAAAAAACTTCTTCATTATAATACTTTCAGTTATTTTTCTCCCATATGATTATAAAATACTACTCCTTGGCATTTTAATTAGACATCGCTAAGATTCCTACCATATCAAACCTTTTTGTATATTATAGAAAAAAAAAGAACTATCATTTTTCATATCAGTGAAACATTCCCTATTTAATTTTATTAAGCCACGTAGGTTTTCATTACGCAGCTGAACATTGTAAGCGAAATTGTTTTACAATAAAATAACCGAGGACTATTGTTTCTGAATACTCACGGTGCTTTCATTTACATTTAGAACAGACCAATTTGTACGAATCCGGACTCTTCATTTGTTTACATTCCATTTCATCGCAATATGTCGTTCGATTGCCATTGTTCGATTAAACCTCATCGAACCTTAATTTGATAAATTTTTCATTAATTTACACATAAATTATATATCGTTCGATGCATTGTGACAGCCACATTTCATAGGAATATAATCAATAGCCTCAAAATGATCTGTATTCATAATGAGTTAAAAGAAAATTTATTCTATTTTATATTTCAAAGGATGTAAAGTATACTAAAATAAAAAAATGAATATATTTCGCTAATTTTCTTTATTCATTCCTATATTAAAAATAACTCTATTTACAGAATATTAATTACATATAATGTTACAATTCTCGACTAAAAAATATGATACATTACCTTAAAATAACTTAGACCTGCACAGATAATAAATTTGTTATCAAATATTTCATTTAATAATAAAGCGGTTCGTTCACGTAATATATGAACAGATATCAAGAAGTTATTATTTTAATTCATTTTTTATAAAAAGAATTTTAAAGAAAAAGTATTCCAACGATTAAAAGAAATTAAACGCGTATAATATTTCATTAACAGCTACATCTAATAATACTATACGTGGCAACCGCTTCAAAAAAAAACCTTGTACATTATCACTAAATATTAGTTATCGTGCGATCATTTTAACTATTTACAATAAATGTATGATTTGCTTCAAAAATCTACATATCAAGAAGACGATTCATAAATAAAGCGTAGAAAGTATTTATGCTATTAATGATTAAAATATTGGAACAAAATATATTGGCATTATTTGCTGGGACTTGATTAAAAAGGTACAGAAATGTTAGCGAGGTACTTAAATTAATATATAAACGAAGTTGATTTATTACAAAATAAAATAATACACTACACAACCATTGGCACTAATTAAAATATACGTTGTACATTATGGTGAAGATTTTGGTTTATTATTATTTTGTATATACACGGCATTCGTCACCTAATAGTTATCAATTAATAAGTCGATATATCTATGTACAATAAAAACTTATTTATACGATAATAAGGTACTTTCGCATCGGACTCAGCCAAAATTTATAAAGACCCGAACATAAATTGAATGCCAGAACTTTATAGTGACCTAGTGCTTTCAGCTTTGTAGCTCAAAGCTGAGGAATTTTGTAATTGAAATAGCATTGTCTAGTTCATATTGTGCACTATTCGACATCTTTGATTCATCAAAATTCCTTTAACAAAGTGCATCAATGCATCAGCTTCATATCACTTTCTAGTCTTCAGAATGACGACAAGTGTGTTATAAGTGTGCCAATATGTCAATTTCCGACGGCGGTGGTATATGCGTATCGTTGAGGGCCGCGGAGCCGGATACGGTAACGATTACGGGTTGGGCCTCAGTGTGAACGATTGTCACAAGATGTTCATCTGGATCTTTCTCTTGTTCTGTTGGTTTTGGCAGGCTCTCTATAGTGTTGTCCGTGTACTTGAGGTCGAGCGGTGTGATCGGCAGATTATCTTGTACAGTTACAGGTGGATCCGCGCGAGGTGCTCGATATGACGGAGGTCCGCTGTACTCGGAGCCACACCATGTAGCACCATTTGATCCTCTGTTGTTTAATTACATGCCATTAATATACTTATACATATAACGGTATTGGTAGAAATCGTACTTTGAATACTCAACTTTATTTTTTTTTTATAGAAGATTACAAATAATAGATTGATTTTAATAATATAATTTGATTTAGAACCCTTATTATAATTAAGATGCATTTCATATTTACCTGACTAGACTGGCTGAGTTCGACCTGTAGGTAGGTGGCGGGGACACCGCGGGCGCACTTCTGTCTAGGAGAAGCAACCTGGAAACAAACGTCCAACTAAAACATTTCACAACCACAAACGTTCGACAGTTAGCGAGTGCAGTTAGAGGATAAATTGCTTGAGCTTTAGTTTAGAAACTAAGGAATTGTGTAGTACAATCGACAAACAACTTACAAAGGTTTGCATTATAAACACTACGCTTGAAGATTTCATCAATAAAGTTATATAATGCTGCTTTAAATGTTAATATGTATAATCTTTATCAAATGATTAAGATAATTTATCATTAATACATTTTTATTTAGTAATTCACTTTTAGTTTAGTACTGACACATCTTCTACCTTGCAATTTCCCAGCTTTAGCCAGAGTCTGCCTTACATGTTGTGATTGGTTTTGGCTAATTGTTTTTACAACCGGCCGCCTGCCTGACATCGACCCTCTTTGGGAATGCATTAATCAGTGATGTCTAAATACTCTTAGAAAGTGCATATGACTCGGAAAAATTACATTGGTACTTGATAGGGCCAGGATCGAACCCACGCCCTCGTGCATGAGAGGTGGGCCTTTTAAACCCTATGCCACCACTGACTTACTAAGACTACTCGTATATGTAACAAAATGAAGTAGCGCTGATTATATTACCTTAGTCTATACTCCTGCATGGAAGCTTGATAAGTTGGTGGTGGAGGTCTGTAATGGAACTCAGGGTACAGCATGGCCGCGTATGGATGGTGAGGTCGTGCGTAACTCGGAGGTAATCGTGGAACGAACCGGCGACACGACGCTCGTCTTATACCGAGGAAAGCGCAGGGCGCGTCGCGTGCACCGAGCCGCCACGCTAGACCCGCCGCTGTCACTAGCACCACGCCTATACCTAGAACGTATTATTGTATTCAAATAATAGAATGTCAAATACCTTTTGTCTTATGCCCCTGCTGAATCTTGTATATGGTTTAAAATTTTACTGACAATAAAAAATTATGAATCCTTATCTATTTTCGTAAAATTATCTTTATGATATAAAATTATGAAATTTTCATGATTTTTGGGTCTTTTTATAAAATATATATGTATATGTAAGTGTAAAAAAAAACGCTTTTAAATAAATGCAGGTAGACGCCTATTTAGATCATTATTTACAGCTCATGATCGCGGACAATGCGTTCCGCTTTGATCTTGCTAATAGCTAGCACCTGCGCTATTGAAGTTCATAGTGTAAAGTAAAAATTGCATTTATAAAGGACTTTTATATCGGCCTGGTTCGTGTTACATAGCTTTTAAGTTCTCGCCTCTCACGTGGATATAGATAAGGTAAACGTTAATAAAAATCAAAAAACTCTGTTCCAAATATAGATTTATATCCAAATATAAAACAATAATTTTGTTTCGTTGTGACGAATATTTAGTTAGAGTGTCAATGCATGGTGATATCTCGAGCCCCGGATTGAGTGACGCGTACAAATTGCTCTAGCGACACAACAATGGATCGCTTGCCTGTAACAACATCATTTGTCCCTAACGCTAATGAAAATCCAATTAATTCTGCTCCCAACTCATTCGAAGTTTAATTGAAAACTTTGCCCGTTGAAGGGCGGAGGCGACTTTGTGAATGATGTAATGAGATTTTACCCAGAGTTGTTATTGTCATATGCAGGACGAATATCCAATGAGCAGACATTTGTTTCATAGGTAATTAAGGTAATTTTATTGTGACATCAGTGTCCAGATCAGAATTTAATATAGAAACAAGATAATACAGTTAGAGTAAACATTATGACCATCACCAAAAACGTTGGGCTTTGACAATTTTTATTACACAATTTAATTTGGCTTACCTCGTATCAGCAATATTGATGGAAAAAGAAAAAAAAATACAAAAAGAAAGAAGTTAATCTTGGAACATGAAGCGAACTGTTAAACGATCAAAGACTTTGTCAGTGAAAAAATCACTCGATTTACAAGTTCCACCGCGTCGCTAGTAAAGTTTTACGAGATTCCTTCTATTTTGTTCACTACATTTTTGTGGCCTTGTTTTATTTAATCCGATAGATAGACTAGTACCACTTCAATTTCAATAAACAAAGTTTTTAAACATACGAGCATGTACTTCAGTTCAAAGTAATGTTTTTAAAATAAAATAAAAAATGTTTTATAATTATTTATATAGTGTTCATTATCATACTAAAAGCAGAAAAAACAATTTAATATTTTAATACTCGTTACATGTGTATGCATTTAATATTATTGAAGTTTTTGTTAAAATCTGCTTTTGTTTATTAGGTCTAATAAATAGATGGACTATTGAAAGCAAAAAGTTTTTGAATCTTATATTAACCTTAAAATAACAATAGAACTGCAATAATTTAATTCGTTATTTAACACACATACATTGTAAGTTACCCTTTAACCAATGACTTCAATTCCGGCATTTAAAATTTCCATGAATATAAGGTTTATTATTCCGAATGGAGTTTTATTTGTTTTTTAAGACTTTTTTATGTTTATGGTTTTTCTTTTAAACATAATTGTATAATTACTTCTATTTTCATGGCCATGACAAATTGAAAAGATAGACTTTCTATTTTAATTACACATATTTTAACTATTTGGTAGTTTTTGTGTTCACTGACAATACAGTTAACAATTGTCAGAAAACAATTTATAAAGTCAAAATATCAATTACTAGTTTTTGCCTGCGACTTCGTCCGTGTTCATATCGGAATTAGTAATATATGTATAAGTGACCGGGTGAACTCTATAACGCCCTAGACGCCATAAATAACCAGATATTGGATTTTTTTTCTCGATCGAATAGATTTAAATATCTTATGTCCATCTCCTGGTTCTCAGCTATCTCCCCACGAATTTTCAACTATATCGCTACAGCCATTCTTGAGTTATAAATTATGTAACTAACACAACTTCATTTTATATTTATAGATTATACTGGAACCGAAAGTTACCAATGCAAATTAGTATTGTAGTGTAGTATATAAGCAGATGACACATAGTATTGAGGAGCAGTAATAAATGTATCTTCAAACCTAAAGCATCTACTTTATTAACCAAGTCCCGTCTTTACAGTATATTATTTAGTTAGTATTATGATATTACCTATCATAAGTAACAGTAATGTGAGAGGTGCTCGCGGATGTGGTCTTAGGGCTCCGAGTACTGCTCCGGCGGCTACAAGGCAAGCCCCCACAACCCCCAGGAACAACACACACAGCCTCAAGGGTGGACGACCACAACACGACTTGGGGGCACTGCCCTCCACTTCCGAACATGCGTACGCCCCACCTCTTCCGGATCTGAAACAATCATTACATTTTTAATTAATTACAATATATTCAAATGAAAAAACTATATATATACTCTCGACTTACAACTACATATGTATTTACTTCCATTACTTTTGAGCAACCGTGATCACGTAGTGTATCCGAAAAATATTATTTTCATTTAAATGAATACTCGCAATGAAAGTTTTTGATCTCATTAATTACATATACTATTATATGTCGTTAAGAGCAAACAAGATAAGTAAATAAGTTTTTTATTCTTTGATTCAGTGTCAGTCCAGTCAAACAATTTGTATAATAAAGTAATTTCAAATAATAAATCCGATAAACATAATGCAATGAACGTTGTCTATACTCTGATATGCGGCTTATGTCGTCTCTAAATCCTATTTAATTGAACATTGGATCCTATTCAATACGTTTAAATGATAATCGTGTTATATAAATAGGGTTTGTGGATGTTGTTTGTTAATAAAAGTAGGTCATAATGGAATTAATACGGCATCAAAGTTCATAACAGAGAACATAATTAATAATGAGAAACTAAATGAAATTACAATTTTAATACCGTATTAGAAAAAATGAGGTAGGTACTGAGGTAGGTACGATATGTTCTAAGAAATTATTATTTCTTAGGGATGCTGCTAAGGGAAAAGTCAATGAAATGTCGTGGCTCAAAAGAAAAAAGCAATATTATTTCTTTGAAAACACGTATAATAGAAGAAAACATAGATGTTGATGCAACTTTTATTATTAAACTACTCATCTAAATGAAGTTGGTCCCAAGAATCAACTAATTACCAATAACAGTCAGTAAAACACCAAAGCTCAATAGTAAAATATATTCTAGTTTATAAATAACTGTTTGTCAATAAATTTTATGAAGTAATAAACATTAAAACTGCGAACGCTTGTTGAATGCGAGTAACTTGAATCGGTTAAGATTTATTGAGTTGTGATTGACCGGAGTCACAGCTGAATGCATGAGGGTCATCGACTCATCTGACCCCTTTAGGACTGTTAATGTTAATTCATTTGAAAGATAATATAAAAAGTTGGTTGTTTGTATCACGTCCTTCATTAACATGTTTATCAAATAGTTCTTTTCTTAGATATTGAAATTAATCCTTAAGAACAATAAGTATCAAAACATATCAAATCCAAGTCTCTTTGCTAGCATGAGTTCGAATAGATCGAGCGGCTTAATACAAAAAGAATAGAGAATGAATCTTTATAAGATGTTGAGCTAAAGTTTTTGGTTGGCTTTAGACATTTTGATAAATTAGTGTTCATCAAAACAGCAATTTCATTGCCGACATCTTTGTTTCTTTTCTTTAATTTTTCGTCGAATTTTTTCAATCATTCGTAGTGCCATTGTGAGAATTTTTTGTTACGACCTAATTAATTTTATTGAGAATATTTTAAATCATTTAAAAAGTATGCGTCTTTGTTCTCAAATAAACCTTATCATAAAGCTTAACGTTTTAGTTGGTCGATGCATTCGATGACACCATCTGTTCCCCCGATTAAGTCCGATAAGTGAAAATGGGATGACTCATTTTTTTGTCTCATAATGGTTATGGACACGCAATGTTGAAACTATCCCGTAGAGAATTGAGTACATACGTTATTATATAAATTAATAGAAGAGAGAACCCCAATATATCTAAACAGTTTTTACTTCCATAACAAATAAGCGGAAAGCCTTGAATTAAACATTGTACCTTTTCTTTATTGAAGTTTTTTTGTAATAATTAGATCATAATTAAATATAGTTCACATTAATTATTAATATCAGACGAAGTTAAGTCAATAGTAACTCAGTACAAGCGTTATGCAAATTAAGAACACTCTAAGCCGGTATATTGTTTCAAAGTATGGCTTATCATTATTGCATACCGGGACTTAGTAAGACGGGTTTAGTACGATCTAGCCGCATATGCCGCTTCCACACGACCGTCCAAGCGAGCTGGATCCAAGTTTAAGTTGAACGGTTTCAAACTCTTAACGTTCATTACCGAGTTTGGATTCCTTTGACGCGAAAACGATTTACTACTCGGTAAACTTGACAGAAACAGCGGAATTCACCACTCGCACTATTTTATTAGTTGTTAGCTCTTAAAGATTACGTGTTAAAAGTTTAAGGTTAGTGTATGGCCAACTTTATTACAATATGAACCGAACGTGTCAGTTGGATCGTTAAATTTATGTTTTAATAAGGGAGCGAGGGTTAATTATGTGATTTATGTGCATATGACTTCGTGCGCACGCGACTTTATGATACCCTTAGGCTAAGTGTTTAACATTTTTAGTGTTATTAATAATACTAATCCAATTTAATACTGCCATTAAAATGAAACTAAAATGTTATGCTACGGATATTATGAAGTTGTTATGACATTGTTTTATAATAATACCTACTATTCGTTCTCAGTTTCTCTTTTTACTTTTTCTAATACTCAAAGCGAATCGATTGTGATTGGAAACTTCGTGATTTATTGCTTTAAAATAATGTATCAGAATTTAATTTGTTTTACCTAAAAGAATTGTAACTTCTTTGGAGTTATTATAATATGTGAGTGATTTAGACAAAAATCGCATAACAATGCTAAATCAGGGCTATGCTTATCTAAAAAGGGCAATATCTCAACGAAATCCCCCTTTTCATGTTCATCCACGCTCCATCAACTATGGAACCAATAAAAGCCATAACCATTGATATATCGCTTGTCGAGTATCCAAGAGTGTATTTATACTCTATATTGGCCAAAATTTTACTTTGTCACAATTTCATCAGGTATTCTTTATTAATTAAAAAAATTAATTTTAATAATGAAATATTGCGGCCTAAGCTACCTTTATATTACAAGTAAAAGCTAGTTAGTTTATTTTACTTAGTTAAATTAAGTTTTTTATACGGTTAACCTTTCTCTTGGAAATATAATAAAGTTGGTAACATAGTTAAGGCTTGTTCTTTTATGAGAAATATTGATGAGTTATAAAGTTCTAAACTAACGAAACAACCACTTATAATGTTAAGTGGTTTTCATTTAAATTCTCTATACAGAGAACATACAGTTACTTTTTATTTGTGTGCTACCGGCAAACATAAAATTTATTAATTTATATTTTATTTGCTTTCATACAAAAATGTTAATATCACTGAAAGTAAAATTATATTTACTATAGATACTGAAAATATGATGACTGTTATTCCTATACAAATAAGAGAATGGATAGTTTCATATTAATATATTAGAAAAATGGCGTAACTACTTTTGAACGCTTTTGGCTTCGGGGATAGATCGTCTTATGAATAATATTTGAAGCAGTAATATGAAGTCTACCGGCTTGATATTACTAAATTAAACAACATTCGAATATGATACTTAAATAAAAAATTAAGTATATATAAATAATTAAACAAAATTTATAATAGCGCTTCAATATATTAAAATACAATTATTTTCGAAATATTAAACTAATGTAAACATTGTCAACATGATCATAATAATGTTCTGTTTTCGAAAATTTAATAAAGTTCTAAATATCAAATTAAAAATAACATGATAAATATCTAATATATTATGAAAGCAATCGAGATTTGAAAAAATCGTTTAGTATCTTTTTATAATATTCATACTCTCAATATTAAATATGAACAGAAATCCGTTGCTTATTAAGGCTCTGAGAGGTGTTTAAAGCCACTCTCTCCACACCCTTAGGGCGTAATTAGAGAGTTTTCAAAACATACCACTCCGGCGCCCTTGCTAGTATAAAATGTCATGCTCTCTTGAGAGTTAAAATGTTACGCTGATAGCAGTTTTCACTTTGCTGAACAACTTCTCAGTGTTGAAATGTTTTCTTAATTGTACGATCGTTAATTCTTTTTTGGACTTTGCTCATTTAATCGATCTTTTATACAAAAAAAAAAAAAACAGCTGTAAGACTTTAAGTCGCAAAGTAAGGGAGATAATTGTATAATTTTGTCATAGTCCTTTCGGTAAGGAATAATGAAGCTAATATTTTTAATGAAAACAATTATATTTTTAATTAAGTAAAGATTGTTTAAGGAAAAAAAATATCAAACAGTTTTTTAGTGAGACTTTATTAAATACAAAAAAGAATCCCCTACTAAAAAAGAAGCATCGATATATTTAGAGCAGTTATTAGAAGTTTAATTTAGATATCAATCATTCAAATTTATAATCTTCCAGTTTCAAACTTTAACTCATATAAAATAGGAAACATGCGCTAAAATAATTTTAATGATTGTTATAATAGTTGGATAACTCGTTAATGCAAACGGAACTCAGATGGAAAAGATCTAAATAGTTCCATCAAAAAGATAACATTATTCGATGTGAATATCCCCACATATTTCAATGCCATAGTCGGCTTACTTGTAATGTACAAATATTAGCAGAATTCAGTAATATGTCCAATATGTTTGTTAGAACGTGTGATGACACGACATGACAATATCACGCTGGAATCCCGAGAAAATAAATTGGGACCCTCGATAAGCGCTCCCTTTGACGAGCCTCGTCTTCGGATTAGGGTGTGAAAAATGATGGCCCTGGTAAGGGAGAGATGTGGCATGCGTGCGTTTTGTAATACATTCAGATGTTATTCTGGCGCATGTTACAATTTAATCTTTTCGTATACCGTAACGTAAACTGCGGTTAGTCTGATATATAGTGCTTTTTACTTGAAATATTGTATTATTAAATTATTCGGTTGTAAAATTCTTTGACGAGTATTAATTTAATATTATTCTTGACGCAGTGCTTTAACTGTATACTTTAATAATTATTATCTATTAAATAATTTTAAATTAAGTAATAAAAAAACAACGCAAAATTTTAAAGTGAAAATATTTTTTATATGGCTGAGCATTAGTTTTATGTCAATTGGTTCTGTGTAGATTATTACGTCAAAGTGTTAGAAATAATATAAAAAGCGTAGTAAAGCCAAATTACAACTTTTCGTCCAACCGGCGGCCTATA